TGCCCAACAGACTTTCCTGTGCAACACCATAGCCGTCTCGTAGGCACCCTGAGGATCGAGGCAGTTCCCCCAGGGTAGGTGCTTTCTTTGCGAGTATGTCTGTTGATGGCGTTGTGTCCTATCTGTTCAAGGAAAGCTGTCCAACTCAATGTGTAATGCATCAGTGGCATTGGTACATAATCTGCATCTGTTGTCAGAATTGCTACTATAAGGGAGAAAGGAGTTAAAGTAAGCCAGTTGGAGATAGAGATTCGAGATCTGAGTTCACATTTCCACTTCCTCCACCGATGGTCGGATCATGTAGTTGTTCTGAGGGTTTGCTTCAAGCGCTTGAGCCGAGCTATGGAGCATACCATTCTGTAGATGCGTGATGAGCTCAAAGCTCTTTCTTGCCCCGACTTCTAAGTTTGGCCCCGTCTCCCTTTGCAAAATAGGGACTAAAAGGTGTGCATGCTAATTTGTAATAGATTGTATCTATAACATATATAAAAAGGATATAACAGTGGTGTAACGTTGGTACTTGGCTATGCCTCTCTTGATCCTTAACAATGACAATAGCCACGACATCTACAACCGATTGACCAACCAATCGGAGGCCACCAGCTCTCCCTTCCGGAATCTTGCACAAAACACATACATCGATATCACCGTTTCAGGAAGACCACAAGCAGCAGGAACCTTCAAGAAGGGATAAGCTGATGACACAACCGATAAGCTCTTCAGGAATTGAGTGGTGCGATCGGTGGAACGGTGGAAGATTTTCAAGAGTTTAGTGGATTTTCAAACTCATCACCGAAACAGAACGTTCAGTATATTTATGGCCATACATCCTGGATTGGTGTATGTTCTATGAGCTAGAACAACCTGCAGAAACTGAGGTGTGTCTTCTTCCTGTTGTCTATTATGAAATTATTCCTAATTTATCTATTTGGGGCTCTATTCTTGATCCTCACAACTGTTTAATTGTGTGTCCACCATGTGCTCGATCATATGACATTGGGTTCTTGGTGAAGGATCTTAGGTTTTTTAGGGTGCTTTGTTTGAAAGTATGTATTTCATTTCCTTGTTCTGTTGCCCCAATTCAATTTAATATTTGGCTCAAACTATGTGCTGTCTTTGTTCTGTTGTTCTGCTATAATTTTATCTTGTGCTCACTATGTGTTTGACAATATGCCCAACCCAATAATAACATACTTTTGTTGATTGATGATGACAGCCTTACTTTTTTATTAGTTTGTTCTCCCTGCCTGGAATAATATTAGTATGCCCAACCCAACTTCTGTCTTTGTTTTGTGTAATTACTGGGTGGGTATTTTGGGTAAATGGATTAAATTTGTTTGGATTTTAAAAGCAACTTCTGGAAGTAAATTAGGTTTCATCTAAGAAAATGGTCTTCCTTTAGCTTGAAAAATGGTATTACTAAATCCACCAAGAATATTGGTAGATCCTCTTCACAGCAAAATTATTTTGATCTAGAAGATGAATTTGATCCTCTTGACAACAATAATATTAGTATATCATTGAGGAACAACAAGATTATATGTTTTTAAATGTGTACTCTCAAATATTATTGGGAATTGAGAATCAACTTGTGCTATTTGTTTATGCAAATAAGTTTGTTAAGAATTATATCATTCCTTGAGCTATTTATTGGATTTGGATTTGTCCTCTGTTTGTTGAGTAGTTTAGTTTCCTTGAGTTATTTACTTATTTATTGGTTGTTGGTGTTCAAGTGTTTATTGCTTTCATAATAATTACTGAAACAAAGGCACAGATGGATAAAAATGATCAAGGTAAGCTTCTTTTTCTTTTTTCTATTTTCTTTTGTGTGTGTGTGTGAGTGTGGTTTTTTGTTGGTGGGATTCCTTGAAGCAATTTTACAACCAATAGAATTCGAAGCTACATAACTCTATATCTAATGTTTATTAAAGTTATTATATATGTTCTGTCAATGTTTGTTCTTGTTTTATGGGGCCGAGAAATTTCTTTTTGTATTGTTTGTTGTCTATTTTGCGTCAGAGGAGCGGTGGGGAAATTATCAATTTGCTCAGGGTGGAATGAAAAAAACCATTGAAATGGGAAACAATTGAAAGCCTCATTTGGAAAAGAGCATATGGGCAAAAGCTACCCCAACTAGCTTTAGGTTAAATATGGAATTTCAGTTTGATTGCATTTCCTAATTCAGTTCTTGTGGATATTAAACAAGCATGGGAATCACTTTTGGTGTTGGTTTCCCAAGTCAGCCCTTTTGTACTTATGGTGTTGACTGGCACTAAAGTACTCTCTTCCCTTATCTTTCGAATTTTTTTTTATGCATTCAAGAAATTGGAACGCAAGGTTTAGCTTGATTTGGTTGGGTTTATTTAAGAAATTGTACCAATTGGTTTTTGAACGGCCTTCTTTTGATTGCTTAAGTAGTGGAGTGTGTTTACTTTAATACCAATTTTTTGTTTCTTTGCCATGACTAATTTGGAATACCTACAAATTTGTATCAGTAGATTTTTTGTTTAAGCCAATAAGGTTTTCTAATAAAGACAAAATATGATATATTTTTTTTAATCATAGAAACAGGGAAGAAAAAGCCCACATAAGATTGATTAATATTCAAGAGGAGGCAGTTTGAACTTTTGATATGTAATGCATTAGAGTGGAGTCCATGGTCTTTTCTTCAATTTATTTTTTATACATCAATAAATCCTTATTTTTATTAGTTTTGAGTTAATTCAAAAGTTTCATGATACTTGTTCTGTTGCATGAGTGCATAAGCAGTTTCTCTACAACAATTTATCTTGTTTCTATATTTTACGAAAATTATGAGATGTACCAATGAAGTATTATAACGATTATTTAGTGAATGTACTATCATTCCTATTTTCATGTCTTTGTTTTTCTATAGTTACATGTCCTTTTGGTGGAATTTTATTTATTGTATGTTCTACTTTATTTTCTATTGTTTATTATTTAATTTTTATTTGCATTATTCTACTTCTTGACAGATAGAAACTGTGACATAAGTTCACTGTTCTTGTGCATGTATATATCCTCTCTCAATGTCTTGTTACAAGACGGTGTCAATATCTTGGCTGTTAATTATGGTTCTCCTGGTGCATGCCCATATCCTTGGCAATTGAAACTCGTAAGTTTGGGCCAACATTTTTTTACTCTCTCTCTCTCTCTCTCTCTCTCTCTCTCATGGATTATTGTCATTGCAATTTTATTGCATTTATTGAGAAAGAATGCTGAAGCTACATTAGATGTCTTTTTTCTGATCTCTTTAGGCTACTGCAGTTAACAATTCTCCAAGACGGAAGAAGCTGACCCAATTAGCCAACTCAAGTGTTTGGAATTGGTTTCAGGGCTACCCAACTGGGGGCTTATATCTCCTTAATAAGTTTGTTCTTAGAACATATGGTATCTAACAAATTTTAATTTTGGGAATGATTAGATTTTTAAGTTTACATTTTTGATTGTGAAGTGTCGTGGCTCAATATGATGTTTTAATTTGTTATGTATTCATTTATTTCAACTATGTACAAGAAAAAAATTCATATTTTTCAGCTCTAAAGCAAATTATATCAAATCAATGGATTATATAGGTCAGGAGGGCCAGGATTTGGTTGGCCAATTATACTGGTCCTTGTCTTCTGTATCAAGCCTTCTAATAATTAGCTCATTTTTTATTATTTGATTAGTCGATCTATATTTTTTTGTCCCCTTTTTCAATTCATATGATAAAGTTTAGAGAATTTAATGATAATTTGTCGTTTCTTTGTCTCGTTCTATAATTCCTAGCCAATGATAGCGCAATCGTCACGACTTTGTTCGTAGCCAATGATAGTATGACGCTCACGCGCGAAGCGCGTGGGGGTCAAACTAGTATACAATAAATACATATAATTACATATTTTCAAATTAGAAAAATGTAGTATTATAAATAAATAAATAAATAAATTCTTTATTAACAAATACTATCTCTATTTTGATTGAGATTGATATACGTCGGCTAATTTTGACATTTCAAATATTAGAAATGTAATTTTAGCGTGCCAGTAAGAATTTGAAAAATCTTTACAAATAATAAATGCCAATTTTATGAAGCAATTATGTGAAGGTTCTCCTAACCTCAATGACGAGTACTTTACTGTGTTGTGTTCAAAAGATGAACCAATATTTTAATGCAAATTTGTAACAGAATAGGAGGGAGAGACTAGGCAGAAATTTTAATTAATTAATTGAATAAACAATTACAAAATGTTACCTTAAGAAAGCACAATTTCGAAGCTTTAAACCGAACGAGTTTTGGAATTACAAAGTTAATTTACTCCTATAAAATGTAAGAGTAATGCATAACAATAAAGTGCTGAAATTTAAAGATAAATGAAATTGATAAAGACTAGGAATGACAATTGGTGGCAATGGAGCAGATATTAATTCTCAATTCCTTTTTCCCTATTATAATTTTTTCCCATTTCCCATCTCTCATCCCTAGGGACTACCGTCCCCATCCCTTTAGACCATCTCCAACCATGTATTAAACTTATCATCAAATTTAAATTTGATGAAAAATGGTTCCTTTTTCAGCTCCAACAGTTTCATCAAATCGGTATCAAATCCAGGATTTCACTTTTCTTTCATCAAACTAAGGACCAATGTGCTTTTCATCAAATCACTGTTCATTGCCGTTGGATTTTCGCCATCGGATGCCCCCCAGATGACCACTGCAAGGCAAAAATTACACTAGTCATCTTCCCGATCATCCGCCCGGTCAACCCCCCCGATGACCACCTGAAGGAGAAAAATTGTGAAAATTTTGCACTGGCCGGTCGACCAGTGGTTTGATGAAGCCGCAAAACCCGCCGTTGGAGCACTTGATATCAAAGAGAATTTTTTCTCAAATTTTTACTCAAATTTGGTGAAAAAAAATTGATGTATAGTTGGAGATACCCTAATGGGTTTGAATTTTTCCTAATCCACCTTGACCTATTTGTTTTTGTTTTTGTTTTTGTTTTTTTTTTTCTCCCTTACAAGGTTCACGGCCAAAAGCCAAATACACATTCAAATTTTTTTTCTTTCAACAACATAATCAAATACATATTATTTAATTAATTAAGAAACTTATTTTAAAGTAAAAGAAGAAACACATTCTCAAATGAATAAAAAAAATTAATCTGCCATATATACACAGATTCAGAATATCTAATATATATATATGATCAACAAGTGAAACATGATTTAAGATTTAAGAAATTGAATGTAAATATAAATGTATGTATATATTTATATGTGGAATTGGGGATACTGCTACGTGACTACGCAGCAGTAACTGCTGCATGCTAAAAACGACGTCGTTTTGATGGCCAAACTGATTTCAAAAATTGATCTACCGATTCTGCTGCCGATCTTGAGTTTCGAATCCTTAACCGTCTCCAAGAGAGGCACAACACGAACCACTGCGTCACTTCGTGTCTTTGTTAATATTAATGACATATATATTATTTATTACCTTATAATTTTTATACAATATCCAATTACAAACTATGGTGCAGCAGTTCCATTTTGGAATTTTCTTAACTTCGTTTGTTTTTAATAAAAAATAATTTGATTCTAATATATTCTCTCACACTTATTCAATTTTTTTTTTTTTAGGGGATTTCATTTGATGAAAGAGAGCTCAATTCCACAAGGGGCAAGTCAATCTCAGATAATGAAACTTTTTTTAAAATTTTTTAGTCATTCACAACCTCCCCCACAGAATTGAAATGTAATATTTTTATTTTATTTTTTTACCGTGATTCATAGATAATGGTATTTTTTGTGAGACATATTTTGAATATTTTAAATGGCTTTTATAGAATTTTGTTTGAACCTTGGAGTTTTTTTTTAGTGCTATTTTGGATGGACATATTGTTGGTAATTTTTTTTTTTTTAATTGTTGATTTGACAAGGTCTCATATTTTTTTTTTTTTTTTTTTTTTTTTTTTGTCATTTTGCTTCTTGTTTGGATGAATAGGTGCAAATATATATATATATATATATCAATCGAATTGAGTAGCATCATCAATTAATAAAAACTATAAATTGAATTGGACGGACATTATTTCTTCTCTCACTATGAAATTAAGAACCACATAGTAAAGTGAGATGATGACATCCACCTAGTTAGATTTATATACATATAGTTTTTTTTTTTTTTGGATGACACCACTTGGGTATATATACATACATATATTGATCGTTTGAATAATATAATAAATAATATATGTGTGCTTACTATTAACAACGATACAAAGTAGCACAACGGTTATTATTGTGCCTCTTGGAGAGGTCAAGAGTTCGAAACTCAATGCTGCAAATTAAATTTTGAAATCAACTTGGCAATCAAAACGACGTCATTTTGGGCTTATAGTAGTATCTGCTGCTCAACCCTACGGCGCAGTATCCCCAATTCTTGTATATGTATAGGTGTGGTTTAAGTTGTAAATAAAGAGAGAGAGAATTGAATGATTAGAAAAAGAGAGAAACGTGCATTTCTACAACATATCACCCTAAGATTGTTGCCTTTGGGGACTGGAGAGAGAGAAACGTGAACTAGCTGAGTATGCCAAAACATATGAAGAGGTGGCCGGCTACCCATTCCTGACCTTACAGAGATTTAAATTATGTCACCGACTCGATTTGATAGGTAGAAAAATGGAGAAATCCCGTGTATTTCAGATCGAGTCTCCGTGGATAACCATTTTGTAGGGTCTCCATTGCTTGAAGACATAGAGTTTGGATTTGATTGGGGGTCTCTTAGTCTTTGTTTTTATCTATTTATAGCGTTCGAAGCAGTTAGGCTACTATCTTTTACCATGATCTCCTCCATTCTCGCTACTTCCTAGGGACATAATCTTCTCTTTGTGCGTGTGTAATCGCTAGAAACTACCCTTTGTTAACTCCTTCTTCACGTGCCTCTCACATGTTGGTTAGCATCTTTACCGGTTGAAAACTTGCATTTACGTGGACACTTCCGAAGGTGGAACTCTTCTTCACTATCTTATCAAATTTTATAGAATTCCCTTTACTTGTCACGTGTCGCTTTCAAATTAGATGATTTAAATGTATTGTGAACAATATAAGAAGAATTTTTGGCAGGGTATATGCCTACTTCCATGATAGACAAAGAACAAATCCCCTATGTTTAATACAAGAAGGCTTCTAATCTCTCAACGCAACCCTCTTTTCATTCTCTTTGAGACCCTACACTTTAACTCTTCGGCTCCATGAAAGGTCTTTTTACGCTATGTTTAGTTGGCGGATTTGGGGAGGGATTTGGAAATGAAAAGGGAATAGATGTGTAAAACTAGGTGAAATATAAGTACATTTTATTTACATTTCACATACATTTTCTTCTTCCCTTTCCAAATCTTTTCCCAAATCCCCCAACTAAACACAAAATTAGTGTATAATAAATACAAAATATTCCACAATATAATTTTAAAATAAATAAGAGTTACACAATGCTCTAAAATCAATTAAAAAAATATTTGAGAAAATTATAAATATAAAAATTTAGAGTTTGAGTCTTATAACAAAATAAATCATGAGTTTTTTTTTTTTTCAATTTAAATCCAAATCTTTTGATTTGTTTTTAATCTAAATCATCCACCTATTTTTGTTAAGTAAAATTGATCAAAAAATTATATTTTAGTCATTAAATTCAATGAAAAATGAAATTTTAAATTTTCCGTATACCTATATTGAGTATAATAACTAAAATATCTTTACATATTAAGGTTTAAATTAATATAATTAAAAATCTATTTTGCTATAAAATTCAAATCTTGAAATTATTTAGTAATCTTTCCAAAATATTTGGAAACTGGTATATATTTAAATCCCATTAACTACAAATAGAATATATACACATGAATGAAGAAAAGAGTGATGCTATTTGCATCACCAAATTTCTTTAAACTCCTACTTTTTGGACTCTCACCGGTCAAAATTGGTCCTCACAATTTTCTCTCTGAATGTCCACCATAATCCCAACTGGAGCTAGGCAAAACAACAAGAAAATCTCAAATCGGTCTGATCTAGATTAAAATTGGAGGATTTAGTTTGGTTTGGTTTTTTCAATATACGGTTCGGTCTTAATTTTTAAAGTAGGTAAGCCGTATTTCATGGTTTGATCCATAATTTAATAGTAGTTATTTCTATACAAGTCCAAAAATTATACCCAATTTTTGAACCTAATGATGTGACAACGCTATTGCAAATGCG